AGTTTCAGGAAGATTAAAAGGTAAATGTGCACATGAAGCCATGAACTAGAGCAGAATTATCTTAGGTATGGATGGGTAAGAGTGGCAAAACCTGGAAGTATGGAAACAAGCCCCATAAAATGATCGATAGGCTCTATAATAACTGAATAATTATGATATCAAAAGAAAATCATGAAATTAAAGAGAAGTTGGGGGAAATACTACAAATGAGGATGATAGGGGCTAATACCATTAAAGTGCCAAAAACTAAAGCTTTTTTCTTACATTCTAACATATCTTGAAATCAAGATAGGTTCTTCAAATAATATGTATATTTAATGTGATCGATAGAACATTAAATCAGTGATATATCTTACAAGCAATAACATCTCATCATTAAAAGTTTTCTTGTGTGTGTGAAAATGAGGACAGATACTAAAGTTCTCGGTAGCCGATCGCTAACTCGTGTGCTCATTCAGCAGACTTCCAGTCTCACGGTGGTGCCAGGTGCAATGTGTACAGTGGTGAACAAAATGGACAAAAGTTCCAGGTACCTTTTCGAGCCAGGCAGTGCTTGGTGCTCCGCTCCCCATGCCCCCTGCTGTATCCCATCTAAAACCACTGGGCTGTTCCAGGTAGAACAAGTCCCTCGGCCTGCTGGGCAGCTGAGTGATGGAGCACATTCCAGCTCAAGCCTGATGCCCCTGAGCCCTGTGCTCTTTCCTCAAATTACCGTAATTGTTGAGCCAAAGGAAATTCTCTCATCGAGGCTTGTAGGCAGAATTATCATTACCTGCGCCTTTCCTCTTCCCACCTGCCTCGGCCCTAGGTGGAGGACTCATATCCAGGAAATGGAAAACATTGTAGTAGGTTCCCCAGCCAGAACTGATATCCTTTCAGCAAAAATAAAGTTGTGCCAAGAAGACACAAAAACAGTCTGGTCCTGCATTATTTAGGTGTGCTAGCAGGTGCTCTTGAAACTTGTGCTAAATAATATATATTGTTTAAATTTTAACACGTCTTTGAGGGATAAAAACAAGTAAACAGTTCACAGTCACACGTTTGGAGAAAGATGGCAAGAAAGAGACCAATCTCTACAGGTTCTTGATGTCTGAGAGACGACTAATTGGAAGCTGTCCTCCCTTGAGTTCTCTGGAATCAAAGCCTGTGTGTGTGGAATCTTTCGTGTTGGAGTTTAATGAGCCGGGAGCCAGATGGGGCCCTGGAGAGAAGTTCAGCGAGGATTGGTCTCCACTGGAGGCTGCTTCCCCTGGTCCTGTGGGAGCTGCTGATCATGAATGGTACCAGAGTGGCCCATGTGCAGGGAGGGGACCTCATCCTTTATACCCTGAGCCAGCCAGCCACCAGCATCCTGCTGCATGGGGACCCGGGGGGGTCAGGTGTGTTAAACCCACACAGAGTGGCTGGGGACTTCGCTCTGAGGAGGATGCAGCTGGGCCAGGCACACTGCCAGTCTTGGAGCTCTGGGAGGGGCACCAGCAGTGTCTGCTACCAGTCTGAAAGGAGTTACTGTGGTGGATGATCGGATGTTAAGTTTTGACGCATAGCAAGAACCCTGTGGTTGGATGCAGATATTGAGCACAGGATTTGTCATCAGGGAGTTTCTTGGTTTTAATTTTGTTTTAGGGTGTTGAAGTATCTGATTAGCATCAGTGCAAGAGAAAATTAGTTTCTAAGAGAAGTATCATGGCAGGGGTACTCCGCAAAGGCTGAGAAAGCTCCTGAGGAAGTTTGTATGTTATTACTGACAAAAAGGAAAAGAAAATTCCAGATATAATTAGAAACAGTGATCAGAAACTAGCTCATATAGTGCCAACCTTGTCAGAGGGATGAGAATAAATTTCTAGTTATCGTACACTTTCATGTAGATTTTTCTAAAATCAGTTTTAGACAGTGGTTATTTTCCTTTAAACAGTTTTCCCCTCTAATAGGGCTTTGCAAAGAACGTTCAATTCTATAAGTGTTCATTGTACCAGGCAGCTGTATTTCCTAGGAAAGGGGATAATACAAAATGCAGGCAAAGAATTTAAAGCCCTTGAGTTTTGCTGTAATATTAGTCCAACCTGTGCCTGTGCTGGGCATGCTGACAGTATTGTGTTAGAAACCAAAACCCACATCAGCCTTTGACTCTGAGGAATAACTTTCAGTGTGACATGAAATACCTCCTTTCATAGATTCTGAGGCACACTCCACCTCAACACACACATGCACACACGCACACACGCACACACACGCACAGTCTGTAGCATCTCTGCCATCTGGATACATCTTACAAACAATTGGCATCCAATTGGCTCCCAAAGTGGGAGCACTTTTTTCTTTCTTAATGGTATAAAACTAATAATGTACTTTACAATTGATGGTTTCTTTGACTTTGAGTCAGACAGTAGATTGGGTTTGTTTTGTTATAATTAGTATGATTCTTAAATATTACATGTGTTTGAAGATTGATTGGCTTCATTTGTTGTATTTAGCCTTTTCTCTTTCATGTATCTATTAGCTCAACTTTTAAGTGTTGTGAGAATAAGCTGTAATGGGCATGGCCAGGTAGTACTGAGGTCGGGCTACCGCTGTATGTTTGCAGAGAAGATTATGGGCCACTGTTTGCTTAAAAATAGGGAGCAACCAGGAAAGATGCATTTTTTTTGTATTAAATTCTTTTATTGGTACATTGTAGGTATACAACACAATTACATTTCTTATTGGGAATTGTACGTTTACATGATGCATCTTGGTTCTTATTTTTTCCCCATTCCTAGCCCTCCCTTCACGCCCTCCACCCTTCCCTATTTACAAAGACTTTATTTTCATTTTTTCCATTTCTCATCAGTTTTTCCTTTCCCTTCTTTCCTTTCCCCTGCCCCTCCCACTACCCCTACCCCTTTGGACCTTTTCTTCCTATTTTACATTATCGATTATTCATTCTAATCATTGGTACATTTTAGGTATACAACATAATGACATTCATCATTGGAAATTTGCACCTTTACATAGTCTCTCTTGGTTCTTATTTTTCACCCTTGCCCAGCCCTCCCTTCAACCCCTCCAGTTCTCCCTATTTACAAAGATTGTGTTCCTATTTTTCCATTTTCTCATATTAATCCCATTCCCTTCTATCCTTTCCCTAGCCCTCCCACTTCCTTCCCCTTTGCCCGTTTTCTTCCTATTTCACATGACCTATTTTACATTTAGTCCTTATTTACACTTTCAGTTTCTCACACCAGAGAAACTATTCAGTATTTACACATGTGTGTCCTATTTATTTCACTTAAGAGTATCGCCTCAATGTGCATCCACTTAGCTATAAATGTCTCTAATTTCTCAATTTTTATGGCTGAGCAGTACTCCATTTTATAAAAAAAACACATTTTCTTTATCCAGTCTCCAGTTGATGGGCATTTGGGCTATTTCCAAGTTTTAGCTCTTACAAACTGCGCTGCTATGAACATGGGCGCACATATATCACTGTGGTATGATTCTTTTAATTCTTTGGGGAAGATCCCCAGCAGTGGAATAGCGGGGTCAAATGGGACTTCCAGTCCTAGTTCTTTGAGGTATCTCCATACTGATTTCCACAGTGCTTGCACCAGTCTGCACTCCCACCAGCAGTGGAGCAGGGTTCCTCTTTCCACAGCCCCGGCAGCATTTGTTATTGGTTGATTTCACGATAGCAGCCATTGTTTCTGGAGTGAAGTGGAATCTCAGCGTTGTTTTCATTTGCATGGAAAGATGCATTTTCTTTTCATTTCTTCTGCTTCTGGATTGTATGGTAGAAACTGAGACGATTTTTACAAATGTTATCATGTCAGTTGGAAGAGTTAAAAATGATGAAGACCTCAGTGTAGCACTTTTTTAAAAAACACAACTATCCTGATGGCTGTGAATGTGTGCATTTGTCACTCCCAAAGAATGTACACACACACACACCCCAGTGAGCCCTCCTGCGAACTCTGGACTCTGAGGGACAGTGACGTTTTGAAGTGGGTGCATCCATTGTGACCAGAGGACACCCACACACTGAGGTGTGGGGTGTCAGTGGTTCATGGAGGCAGAGGGCAGTGGGGAACTCTGTAATCTCCATTCCATTTTGCTCAAACTGTTCTTAAAGATAGCCTGTTTTTTAAAGTATGCAGCAGACTGAAAGCCAGCTTTTCTGCTCAGGAGCCTGTTCCTGAAGACGGGGCAGTGGCCTGGAAGTTCCGAAAGTGTTTCAGTCCTAGAGTTCTCGCTCCCTGGACATCCATTCCCGCCATCCCCAGTGCCGTTTGTCTGCTAGGTGGGAGAGGCGGTTTGGAACCTTACAACCCAAGAGGGCCTCTCCTGAAGGAGGCTGATGAGAACAGAATCTTCTGTGACCACATCTTCCTAAATGAGCATTGTGCAGAAACACTGGGTGTGTGCGTTTGTGTGCGCAGAGGAGTGTATTTCCTATAAATACAGCAGGAATCGCGTGAGCAGCACGCATTGACACATCATGACTTTTAAATAGCATAGTGCTCTCTCTACCACGAGCAGCACATACACAGTGTATGCACAGTATTTAAGGTTACTCGAGCACACACGAGCATACGCATAAACATGCCTTCTTTAAAGAAAAAAGTCATCGCCCACTGCATATAAACTGGTTGATTCACTTCCAGAATGTCCATTGCTATTATGTAGGTTTACAAATAAAATTTAACATACTGAGTTTTCCAAAAGTCAGCTTTTAACCAAAACTCCTTAGTCTCATTTTTGGATATTAATATAAAATACTTACGTTTCTTTCTTCTACTTTAGCCATAATGGTCAGGTATCTCATTGACACAAAAATTCTCAAACTGAAGCTAATATGGATGAAAATGAAAACCAATAACCTTTATCAAATTACAGTGTGATTTATCTTCTACCTGGCTTAGTGTTTCTATAGAAACGCCATCTGCTGAGTTTTATTTCAGAGGTGTGATGCCCCAAGAGGAGACACCATTTCTAATGCTGCTGTGGCTTCTTCTCCCCCTTCCAGGCCTTGAACCGGGGCATTGCTGCTGTCAAGGAGGATGCAGTGGAGATGCTGGCCAGCTACGGGCTGGCGTATTCCCTGATGAAGTTCTTCACGGGTCCCATGAGTGACTTTAAAAATGTGGGCCTGGTGTTCGTGAACAGCAAGCGAGACAGGACCAAGGCCGTCCTGTGCATGGTAGTGGCTGGAGCCATCGCCGCTGCCTTCCACACTCTCATAGGTAAGGGTCTGACTGCCACTGAAGCAAAGAGCTTTGAACATCTTCACTCCTCTGCACTAATTTGAACATATTTACCAGAAAACCGATTCCGTCAGTAGTTGTCAAATATTTCTCAGGAAAATTTCAAAGGATAAGAGGAATGAAATTTGTGCTCCTCGCTCAAGCAAATTTACAAAATAACTTTTCTGCAAAGTGATAGTTTTGAGTCTCTGATGCGTAAGTCAGAAAGGAAGTGATTTCACCCGCAGGTGATTGTAGGAATACCATAGCTTCCTGTAAGGTAGGTAGAGTAACAGGTGCTTTTGTTAAAGATCGACATGCATTCTTGTACCCAATTAGTATGTTGAGAATAAAAGTAGAACGATTGGTCTTTAGTATCAATGCATATCAGTAGTGAGAACAAATGACACATTGTTTTATTTATCAAAATTTGTTCATTCTTGGGCTTCTCTAACTGCTTTATTCAGACATGAGACTATAAACACTCTTGGCCTAACATTCTTTCATGATACGAGAAAGCTAGATCATGCAGACAGCGGATACCTACAGGCTCACCAGAAAGCAGATTCCTTCCGGTCTAGGTTCACCTGCAGCCCCAGGGTGGTCATGAAACCCTGAGAGTGTGATTTCAGAACTTGAGTAGCACATCTGCTGAAGCCATAAAACAGTGAACTTGCTTCGTAAACCTGTTGTGTGTACCTAAGATTGTTGCTGGTTGTATGAAAAGCATAAATGGCAATGGTTAACTTAAAGAAAACAAGCAGCCAGAAGACTAACCTAAACCCCTCACATGTATTCTGAGGCAGCTAATGTTTACTCACATAGTTGTGAGTCTCAAAGCAAATAGGGGAAGCCTTGTGTGGTTTTCATTTTTAACATAAAATAGAATTTTGTTCTTCCGTAAGAGGGGTGTGGAAGATAGCATGCTGCTGATGGACCAATTGTCCAGCCAAAAAGTTGATACTGATCATTTCATTCATTTGTGCTCTGAGCCCATGGTATGGGCAGTTAGAAACAGATGACTTTCTTTCCCTTGAAACTAACTCTGAGTGTTCCAAGAAAATTTCTGCTGCTAGATTTGATTGAGGCTACTTCCAAAGACGCTACGTGTATTCAGAAAATTCCATACATTTTTTTGAGATAAAATGTTTATCTAAATAGGCAAGTTAGTTCCCTTTTGCTCTTCCTCTTTTAACTTGGAACACTCAGTAAATGCAGATTCCCTGTGTTAGCTGTGGTTGAAAGAGACTTTGGAATGAATAGCCAATTACCAGCTGCCCATAATGAAGCAAGAGAAAACCTGAACACCCTGTGCTACTGAAACTGTTGTGAGGAAAATGTGGCCATTGAACCACACGTCAATGTCGTTTTCCAAGTTAAATGGAAATTTTCCTGTTTTAAAGTAGAATCCTAAAATCTCTAAAACAAAAAGGTTCCACATTCCAGTTACGTTTAATAGTTATTTGTATCACATTTGATACTTTTTGCAATGAAAGTTTTATTCCTTGCATCAAACAAATGCTTTCTTCAGTTTCGAAGAAAATACATCTCCATTTCTTTCAAACACCCAGAACTCACGTTTTAGGGATTTTCCCTCTCCTCCTTCACTGGCCTCATTTAAGTTTCCCACCCAGAAGTTCCGTCACTGTCTTGCTTTCTGCCCTCTGCTGCATCGTGCAGCCTTGTTCCCCTCCCTCCTTCCTTTTGTACTGAGCTGGAAGATCCCGCCCGTTCCTTCTGTTTCATTGTTGCTGTATCTTTGCAGTGCGTGCGTGCGTGCTAATGGCCTTCGTGTGGGGAGTGGTACATTCACGTCTCCCATCTCCGTGCTGCTTTAGTCCCCTCCTCCTCCATCTCCACCTTTCCTCGGGTCCCCTTCTCAGCCCCACTTTCCAGCTACCTGGTTCCTATCATCTCTCGCTTACTTTGCTCTTTAAATTATTTATATTTTTCGTTTCTCATGTAAGAGAAACGATCCTTTGTTGTCCATATCTTGGCCACCGCTGAGTGGTGGGACATCCCTCTGTCGCTCTCTGTCTCACTGTTTCCCTGCATCAGAGACCGGTTTCCTCCCGAGATCAGGGGCTACTTTCCCTGTCAGCTGCAGTAGACGCTTACACCCGTTTCTGCTTGTTAGTGGTGCTGGCGGAGCTGTTCACATTTCCAGCTCTGGGATAACTGTGCCGTGACGTGGGTGAAGTTGAAACGCAGACGCCGCGGCTCTGTGTGCCTAGGGAGCCTGGCAAGGTCCCGGGCAGTCTTCCCAGGCTGTGCTCGGGCTGCCGTGGAGATGAGCTCATCTTCCGCGCGTGAACAGCCCGCCGTGGGCGCGAAGCCACACACTACACGTTCATCTGACTTCATCCACACAGTGTAAATGTGCTCCAGAGAAATCTAGGTTTCAACTTAATTTCTCTCTGTTCTTTATTCTGCCAAAACCGCTTTGATTGCCATAAAAACTCATCCATGTGCTGTTTCCCTATGGCCTTAATGAATTTATTTCCTTTGCTCAAGTTCCTCTAACTTTTTTATGGCATTTAAGGAAAAACTCGTGAGAGGACAAAGCAGGAGAAGGTTCTTTTGTGTCTTGGGACCGAAAGCCTGTGTGGACTGGCTCTGAAAGGATGCTTTGTATCTCAGCACAACCCTTCCTAATTTTTAATAATCTTCTATATAAAATGAAGTCAAGAATTTGACCTTTTTCCCTAATATTTTGCTAGGGCTGAGAATGTAGCCCAGCAATTGAGCATTTGCCTCGCATGTGCGACGCCCTGGGTTTGATCCCCTGAACCACCAAAAACATTTTTTTTAAATTCTCACTCTCTCCATATAACATTTCTAGCGGTCGCTGCCTGCCTATTGCATCTCTTCTGTCTAGCATCAGACTCCTGGTTTTAGCACCCCCATGGTATTTTTTTTTTTTACTTAATAGCCACTTCCTTAGTTCTTTTTGCTTTACTTTCTACTTTACCTGTTTATTTGTTTTATTCGTTAACATATTAGTTACTTTCCCCCAACGTGATGCCTTTTGTGGGTGTAATTAATTTATTTCCCTTTTTAGATATTCCTAGTCTGATAAAATTCATCTGCTGTCCCATAGGATATCGCTAAAGATGAATGTGAGCCATTTTAACTGTATGGAATACATCATTAGTATTTAGAGCTCATTTTCCTGCTTTGGATGTTGGGGACTTTTTACCATACATCATCCTTATGAGAATTTCAGGAGTAAGAATTGCCCTTTGTTGCTCTCGATTTGGAAATAAGCGAGTCCCCACTTGTCCTGTATAGTAGTTCAGCAAAATATGTACTGAACAAATAAAACACACGTGTTGTTCCAGGGCCTATTGCTGAAAGTTGGGAGTAGCAGGGAGATAGATACACAGATTTGGTAGCGAGATATGTCTGCCCATCTCCCTGAGCAAATGTAGCTGAGGGGAATTTTCGTGTGGGTGTTCAACACTGACTTCTAGATTATGCAACAGGCTGTTTTCAGCCAGTGAGCACTGTTGAGATATGGCAGAGGTAAACCAAAGCTAATAGATGCCGTGTCCTCTGGCCAGAGACAGGTATTTAGCTAAAGGAGGTTTGGAGCCTGAGACTACAAAGAGCTCTGCTGACCACATGGAAAGCCAAAGGGAGAGCGGAAAGGGGGCAGGCAGGGAGGTACAGAGAGGAGCTCAGCCCAGAGAGCCTCGCTCTGGCGCACCTGTATCCGTCTGCAGGGTCCCTTGCAGATGCTGACACCAGTGGTTATTTTTTGTGTTGTCTTGGGGACAGTCGTATTGAGTAAGGCAGATTTACTCCAGTCTTTGTGTATGTTTAATACAGCTCTGACCAGTAGAGATCAACATGTTCTTCTTATTTGCATCATCTTTAGAACCTTGTGATCCCTGAAGGTATTGTTTCATAGTTAGAAAAACTTGCTGTATTTATAATTCTGCACCACGTCGTTCGTTATGAACTTAGGCTTCCTTCCAAGAGTGGGTGTTCTGTGACATTTCTAGAAGAAATCCTGATTCCAGTGTGATCTTCTCTAGCTTCGATTTTTTTCTCAGTCTGGATGAACTTGAATACGCCATACTTTTCAGTATTGATGGGAAACCCAGCAGCCCCTAGAGGGTCCTCGTCACTGAGAAGAGATTCAGACATGACCATGTCTACCTCTGAAAAGCCATTTGCAGATACAGCTCTGGAGCTCACTCACCGGGTATCATTTCTTAGTGTCAGTTCATGGATCACAGTAGGACGATCGAAATATGCTGAGGTCAACGAGCACTAAAAGTTCATTTGTTGTGTCATCCACTATTAATTGTGTGCCCCAATAAAGGAAAGAACCTTACTGAGGCCTTTTCATTACATTTGCTGTTGTGAAGGAATTCTTTTGGGCTGTGTTTTATGCTTGTTTTTCTTGACTTTTTTTCTTTCTGGCTTCCACTGGTGAGTGAGGCAGTCTCTCCTCCTCGAAACATTTATTTGCACGCTATGTGGGCTTCCTCAATGTGGCTGCAACATGTTCCACCAAGCGCACAGGCTCTTCCTCACAAAGGCTTGGGGAGGTGAAGGAAAGGTGGCTCTAAAAACCGTACTCAGTGGCACCCACCCTCCCTGGGCCCACTGCATAGCCACTTGGAATTGTGTTGGATTTGGCTGATTTGAAGTCTAGAAGATTCACTAGCTGCAAAGTTCCTGTCCATTGCATGTCATCCATAGCCTGGCTGTAGCTACCCAAGTTGCAAAAGCTGTGGAAGTATTTCTTGGCCCTTTTTGGGACCTGCCAGTCAGTCTTCCTTCTCAGGCTCATGATAGCCATGACTTGTGCCGTGGACTCATCTGTGAAACACCATATATAAAACTACAGAGTTTGCCACTGACAGGCTTTAATTCAGGCCAGTTATCACGGGGCAAGTGATGTCCTTGCTGATCTTGTACTTGATTTCAGTTGGGTCCACGTAATTTGCCTACAAGGAAATTAGTATTTCCTGGCCCCCTCATTCACATAGGAGCTGTTGCTATGGTTATGAGCTTTCTTTACACATTTGTTCCCAGCAGTGACCTGTGAGGCCTCTTCCATGCTCTGAAGCAGGCTGGGGATCTGCAGAACTCAGGGGAACTAAATTTCTGCAGGTCCTACTATGGGCAGGTGCAGTGATTCCTAGACCTGTTCTGGGTGCCAATCTCCTCTTTTAAATTTCTCCCTTATTCATGGGTTACAAACCATGTAAAGAGTGAATGGGTCCAGTTTGACATAATTCCCACCAACAAGAGAGCTAGGAATGAACAGTTTCACTAGAGCCTATGATTTGTTATCTTGAAAACACCCCAATATTTAGTGACTCAAAACACAAGTGTTTATTTTTGTTCACCAGACCACAGATTGGCTTGTTGGTGCTTTTGAACTTGGCTGGGCTCGTACCTTTGTGGTCAGTTGAGGGCCAAGAGGTGGCTCCGCTGATCTTGATGGACTCCAAGGAGCAGTTGGCCCAGGTGGCCTCTGCTGGGACAGCTGAGCTCTGTTGCACGTGACCTCTGTGCTCCAGGGAGCAGCACCTGGGATTTTCTTTCTTTCTGGATAGCCTTGGCCAGACTCCAAGTAAAAGGGTAGAGGCACACAAGGCCTCCTGAGGCCAAGAACTGAAGCTGCGTCATCACTTCACCACACACAACTGGCCAGGACCTCCTGCGGGCCAGTCCACACTCTAGGGCCAGGGACATCAGTTTGAACTTTGACAGGAGGAGCTGCAGAACCATAAAGAGTAGCAATATAAATAGATAATGTGAAATAGGAAGAAAAGGGGCAAAGGGGAAGGGGAAGTGGGAGGCGTAGGGGAAAGGAAAGAAGGGAATGGAATTAATGTGAGAAAATGAAAAAATGGAAACAAAGTCTTTGTAAATAGGGAGGG